TTGGTTTTAGCATCTGTCGTCTATCTCTTATGTGCACAGTTCAGTGTCCTATCATTTCCCAATGTTATCATGGTGGTCATATATCCTTCCCATATATCCCTCCCCCTACCCATGTCAGCGTGTAAGCCCCAACTAGCCCGAAATTAATTCCTCCCTTTCCCTCCTCAAGTGCTTTTTAAGGATGTTTTCTTTTCTCTTATATAAATACCTAGGAAAGGAATATACTGGGTTTTAGGATTGATGGAAAGTTCGTTTTCCAAATGTACTGTTCTATATTCCCGCCAGTCATATGGAGGGAGCTCTCGTGGCACTGTGGTTAAAGCATTGGACTGCTAACCAAAAGTTAGCAGTTCAAACCCATCAGCCACTTTGTAGGAGAAAGATGAGGCAGTCTGCTTCTGTAAAGATTTACAGCCTTAGAAACCCTATTGAGCAGTTCTATTCTGGCCTATAGGGTTAGTATGAGTGGAAGTTGACTTGATGGCAGTGTTTTTTTGTTATTTGGGTTTACTAGTCACGTGTGGGAATTCCAATTGCTTTACATCTTTGCCAACCCTTAATATTATTTTATTTTATCCATTGAGGTCGGTGTCAAGTGTTTTCTGTGGTTTTATTTTACATTTCTCTGATAACTAATGATATTGAACATTTTTTCCTTCATGTGTTCATATCCTCTCTAGTGTGTGATGGGGGACTTGAACTCTTTCTTTTGTATCATATCTCAAATATATTTTTTCCACTGATGCTTCACTTATGATCTATTGAACTTAGTGTCATGTTTTTGAATATGAAGTTCTGTCTGCCTTGTCACCCTTCTAGGTCCACCTCAGATACGACCTTTTGTGTTGATGAAGCTTCTGGCATTGCCTTATGTCTATAGAATTTATGTATATCCTTCCTTTATGGACTTGCCATTTTGTGTACAAGTCTTTGCCACCGGAGGGGAGGGAACTTTGTGTTACTTTTCTTTGCATTTAAAATGCCTATCACATGGCCTGCCATGGAGTCTAGTCTCAATAATTATTGTTAAATAAATTTATTATCCATCTGATAATGTGAGGCCAACAGCTCTGTGAGAAAGGCTGAATGCTTTAAATCAGAGATAAGGGCATAGACCCAGAGGGGTCCAGTGACTTATCCAAAGTAACACAGCCTATTTATTAGAAAGACAGACACTACTTACTGTCAAGTTTTGAGTATTTTACATTACATTCGCTATGCTGTTTTAGGTATAGTGGTCTTTGAAATACATGTGCCCCTGTACATGTACAGGAAGACTTTCCAAGGGTTATATAGGCATGGAATGATTTTAAGGGAATCCATTTTAAGACCTCAGTTTGAATATGTATTCATTTACAATCTACCAACCTGAGAAGGAAGGTCAAGGAAGGCATTAAGCCAGTTCTGTTTCCTACATCCTCTTTCAGCATGGCTCTTCTCCCACTTCACACATAAAGGCAGACCTTTCACCCATTTCTTGTCTTCTTGAGGTGCATTGCCTCAAGATGGAAACCCTCCAGGGCACAATAAAGAGATAATTAGAAACATGGATAGTGTTGAGAAAGCAAATTACCCTAATGGCTGCAACTTAGGGGTTACCAATTTTTAACTTTCACATATACTTAAGAACAGTCTAATCAAGTTGTTAACTGATGATTTTAATTTTTAAAAAATTTATGTTTATATATTTTTATTTAACTAAGGTTTCAAAGAATTAAATTACATCATAACAAAACTCCTTCCATTTCCATTTATTTTTGTGAACAAGGATTCTCATTGTTTGCATAACAAAACAAAGCCCAAGGAATAGAATTGATGCTGCACCATATCTCATTTTGGCAATAAGTGATGTTTATCCATGGGTAAATTAATTATAAAAAGAAAGATCCATAGATCTCATTAAGATACACATTGCCAAATAAATTTTATATTGAACAATTATTTATAAAAATACTATGGTATGTTGTTTTCAAGTGTGTATTCATAATGCTTGTTGTTATGCGCCGTCGAGTTGGACCCGACTCATAGCGACCCCTCCTTGGGTTTCCAAGGCAGTATCACTACGGAAGTAGATTGCCCCATCTTCCTTCTGAGGAGTGGCTGGTGGGTTTGAACCTCCAGCCTTCTGGTTAGCAGTTAAGTGCCTTAGGCACTATGCTACCAGAGCTTCTCTTGTAATGCTTAGTATTAATTAAAAAAAAAATCAAACACTCAGAATCTTATTGTTTAATAGTTTGAAGTGTGTATGTTTTGGTTTGTTGTAAAATTGTGTGATCAGTAAGACTTTCCAGCATAAAAGTGTATTATAATAGGATACAAGTCTTTGGGGGATAAGTGGAGTGGAAACAAGTTTAAAAAGTATAAAAATTTTGACTTTTTAAAAAATTTTTGAGATAGAGGATGTTTTTTTGTCTTCTATTTTTTTGATTTAAAAAAATTCTTTCAAAAAGCATCAAATTTATTTAGCTTTCTGACTGTGCTAGTACCTTCACAATTTCATAAATATTTTCTGCTTGATAAGGAAATCACGCTTGATCCTGCCACAGACACATTTATCACACATGGAACCACCATAGACTCTGCTGACATGTTTTTGGTTGTTTTAGATGTCTTCATAAGAATTTTAGGTCTCATAGCACAAACCCCACAAAGCCATCTGGGCACACGCAACATGGAGGTTAGGGTGCTTTTCCAACCATTTTGGAATAAAAGCAAGCAATTCTTTTACCAGGAGCAGGGAACAGTCTAATTTTCTTAGAAACTGTGTTGTAGGATAGTCTGGGACAATACCTCAGGCACTGGACCATTTTGAGTGCTTCTAGACATCATCCTCAGAAAATATATAGTGAATATATATATTTTTAAAAGGATATAACAGTATGGTTTTAAAATGCCATTATTAGTACATTAGAAATAACATCCTTTACAATTATTTAAAATTATAATGAAACGATTTTGATGTTAACTAACATATATGTGTACGTAATTTTTAAAAATTCTTTCAGGGAGGAGAGGAGTAAAAATGTGCAAAGAACAACTGGACTAGGGGGCAGCTTTGGTTTTGATGTTCCATTGTAAAAGCAAATGTTCAATTTGGAGGGAAACATGTCAGCACTTTCTAGTAAGACTCTTTCAACTATAGGAAAAAAATAATGCCCCATCTGGTCCCTCTTCGCATGTCTTGACACCTGGTTTTGATTTGTAAAAGACCAACACTTAGAAATGAAACCATACATAGTATTCCTTAAAGTGGCCTGATGGAATATCGTGATTTCCCCCTAGAGGACAGGACAAAAAACGCCTTGAATGTCCTCAACTGCTAGTCTCCTGGATACTTTTGTGTAACTGCCAACAGTGTGTTCAAATGCAGTTCAGAACATAAACTTTCTTAACCAAAATATTCCTTAAAAAATCAGCTTAAGACAATTCAGGTTTCTCCCTCAATTATTCTTCATGATTTGGTACTGGTCCTGATTTCCTTAGTTCCTTGCCACATGTAACCTTGTTGTTGTTATGTGCCTTGAGTGGGCCCCGACTCATAGAGACCCCTCCTTGGGTTGCCAAGGCAATATCACTACAGAAGTAGATTGCCCCATCTTTCTTCCGAGGAGTGGCTGGTGGGCTTGAACCGCCAGACTTCTGGTTAGCAGTCAAGTGCCTTAGGCACTATGCTACCAGAGCTCCTACATTCCACATTTGGTAGGAACCTCCTAAAGGCAAGAGGCACTCTACAGCACACGACCCATGCTCTCGTCAGGACGCTCCATAAGCCAAAATTTCTTCCCAGCTGACTCGCTGATGTTTAATCGGTTATTTTGGTTAATTATTCATGAAACACATGGCTGTATAAGGGAGAAGAAGACACTGCACTTTAATCACAACATGCAAAATTTATGCTGGTATTGTTAGGTGCCTGGTGCTGCAGTGGTTAAAACACTCAGCTGCTAATAGGTCGGCATTCGAATCCCCCAGGAGCTCTGCCAAAGAAAGACGTGGGGATCTGCTTCTGTACATTTTTATAGCCTTGGAAACCCTATGGGGCAGTCCTACTCTTTCTTACAGGGTCGCTATGAGTCAGAATGGCCTTCGTGGCCGTGAGTTTGGTTTGGTTTATTCCCAAACTGGGATCGTGGGAAAAAACAGGAGAAACACTGTATCTTCTTTTAGCGCCTTCGGAGTAGTCCAAATCGCACAGGCCGAGCTTTCCCAAAACTCTCTGGGCCAACTAAGCAGCACTGCGTTCGTGGGTCGTCGGGTCGCAGGTCCAGACTAGGAGCTCTAGCGATGTACTGCCTAAGGCATTTTACTGCTAACCAGAAGGTTGGCAGTTCAAATCCACGAGCCACTCCTCAGAAGGCAGGTAGGGCAATCTACTTCCGTAGTGATGTTGTTTTGTTGTTGTTATTTGCCATCGAGTCGCCCCGACTCATAGCGACCCCTCCTTGGGTTTCCAAGGCAGTATCACTACGGAAGTAGGGATGCCCAACCTTCCGTCCCAGGAGTGGCTGGTGGGTTTGAACCGCCAGCCTTCTGGTTAACAGTCAAGTGCCTTGGCACTATGCTACCAGAGCTCCTTCCCCAGTGATACTGCCTTGGAAACCCAAGAAGGAGTCGCTATTAGTCAGATCAGACGCAATGGCAGCGAGTTTAGTTGCCTTGAGAGCAAGACTGATAACCTGGCACCAGGAGGAGAAAGCCGCGCACAAGGCCGGGGTGGGGGCGCTTTCTGGATGCGTCACTTCCGGCGCCAGGTCTACTTCCTGGTGCGGGAAGGGGGGAAAAAGGGGTTGGTGAAGCCCGAGACGGTAAAAGGGTGAGAAAAGCTAAGCTAAAGCTGTCCCGCATCGTGGAGGGCAGGGGTCAAACTACTCCGCCGGGAACTGCGCGCGGGGTCAGTGGTGGGGTCGCTTGCCCGGGGCCCTGCTAGGGGCGCGTTCCCGGCCTCCACGCCGCTGTCGCTGCCGCGCTCAGCGCTTCTACTCTATTGCAGGTCTATCCAGAGCCCCGGACCGAGAGCGAGTGCCTCAGCAACATCCGCGAGTTTCTGCGAGGCTGCGGGGCCTCCCTGCGCCTAGAGGTGAGCGCGGCGTGCAGGCGGATTGGCGGGTAGAAGGTCTGACTGGAGCTGCGGCATACGCAGCGAGGGGTACAGGCAGCTGTGGCCCGTGGTGTGTTTAACAGGCGGAGTAGGTTGCGGTCCTCACGCCGGGGCGCGCTGTGGTTCTTCCCTGAGGGCAGGGGGCGGAGCAGACGGCGGGCGGGGCCCTGGGATGGACGTCCCGATACAGGCAGGCCTCCCGGCCTTCAGTTTCCCGGCTGAGGTCACGCCCTGGCCTTCTTTGGGATCCCGGAGTTGTGGCGCGGGACGTCACGGGTCGGGGTAACGGCTTGGAGAAGGTGCTGGCAGAGAAGGCCCGGCCCATCGGCGGTCCAGAGGATGTGAACGCGGCGTCCTACGGCAGGGAGGACCAGTGTATTGAAAACCCAAAGTTTGTTCTGAAAATTCGCGTAATGATGTAGATGACAAAATTTTCAACAGCATTTGTATTATCAGAGGCTCCTGCTTCATCTGTAACACTGATTTTAGGGATTCTCCGAGGAGCTCTAGGAGCTCTGGTAGCATCGTGCTTAAGGCACTTGACTACTAACCAGAAGGCTGGCGGTTCAAACCCACCAGCCACTCCTCGGAAGGAAAGTGGGGCAATCTACTTCCGTAGTGATACCGCCTTGAAAACCCAAGGAGGGGTCGCTATGAGTCGGGGCTGACTTGAGGGCACATAACAACAACAACAACAACAACTGAGGAGCTCTCCTGGCGCTGTGCTGCGTAAGGCATTTGACTACTAACCAGAAGGTTGGTGGTTCAAATCCACCAGCCGCTCAGCAGAAGGGCAATGGGGCAGTCTGCTTCCCTAAAGATTTACTGCCTTGGAAACCCAGCGGGGGTCGGTAAGAATTGGAATTGATTCTATGTCAGTTTCTTTTTTTTTTTTTCCCCAATTGTTAGGATTCAACGACTGTGTCAGTCTGTCAGAATGTTCAGGAGTTGGTTAGGCAAAGCTGAGCAGAAATAAAATGGACCAGAAATCCCTCCCATTATCACTCCTTTTCTTGCTTTTTATTAGAGTTTGATTTGATCTGTAACATTTAATGTTTAGATAAGAATTAATATTAACTTGTATCTGGAATTTAAGGAGGTCTGGTGGCACAGTGCCTAAGGCATTTGACTTCTAACCAGAAGGTTGGCGGTTCAAACCCACCAGGCCTCCACAAAAGAAGGTGGGGCAATCTACTTCTGTAAAGATTTCTGTTATATTTTTCACTTCTTTAGTATTTATTAAAGAGCTTTGGTGGCAGAGTGTTCAAGCATTTGGCTCTTAACCAAAAGGTGGTGGTTCTAACCCACTACCCTCTGTGGGAGAAAAATAAGGCAGTCTGCTTCCACAGAGATTTACAATCTTGGTAATCCTATGCAGCAGTTCTACCCTGCCCTACAGGGTCGTTATGAGTCAGAATTGACCAGGTAGCAGAGGATTTCAGGGTTTATAATTTCCATTTATTTCTTTTTATAAGTTGTGTTTCTTTGCTAAGATTTACTATTTCATTTGTTTTGAAAGAATTTATAATTGTTTATGATGGAGGTCTGGTAGTAATGTTAACCACTCTGGTGTAGTGGTTAGGGCATTTGCCTGGTAACCAAAAAAGTTCAGTGGTTTGAATCCACCAGCCACTCCATGGAAGAAAGATGGAGCAGGCTGCTTCCATAAAGATTTACAGCCTTGGAAACCCAATGGAGGTTGCTGTGAGTCAGAATCGACTTGATGGCAGATGGTTTTGTGTTTTTGTTTGTGTAGAATTTATATAATAGATGATTTTGTAGTGAGAATAAGAGCTCTGGTGGTGCAGTAGGTAAAGCATTGGGCTGTTAACCAAAAGGTCAGTGCTTCACACCCACCACGCGCTTTGCAGTTTGCTTCCGTAAAGATGGACAGCATTGGAGATCCTAGGGCACGGTTCTGCTCTGTCGCATAGGGTAGCAGTGAGTCGGAACTGACTGGATGGCAGTGGGTTTTAAAATTTTTTTTTTTTAAAACTTGGTGGATGTCATTTCCAAGTTGCATATGATTTTGTCACTAAAAGAGTCTTTGCAGTCTTTTTTCTTATTCTTCTTAGGGGAATACTTATTAAGAAATTTATATTCCTTATTGTTGTTGTTATGTGCCATCGAGTCAGCCCTGACTCATAGAGACCCTTCCTTGGGTTTCCGAGGCAGTATCACTACGGAAGTAGGTTGCCCCATCTTACTTCCGAGGAGTGGCTGGTGGGTTTGAACCGCCAGCCTTCTGGTTAGCAGTCAAATAAATGCCTTAGGCACTATGCTACCAGAGCTCCCAATATTCTTTATATTTATATTAAGAAATCTAGCTGTTCTTTTACTTGGGAATTGCAGGGTGATGTGGTTGCAGTCAGTTCTGTATTTAAATCTTTCTTTTTTACCTGGTATTTTACTGCTCGTAGCTTTAGTTTCCTTATCTGAGAATTAAGACAACAGTGTATGAGGGCATTTCCGACAGAACCCGTTACATAAGATGATCCAATATATAGCATGACCTTTTCTTGAGAGGAGAGTCTCTTACTGTAGTTTTCTTGGAAAAAATATCTAGGAGTCATCAAATCTTAGGGAGAGTTATATGGAAAACTCAACTGTTAATTGAAATTAGACATGTAGGAATTGGTAGAAATTAAAGTGTCATTTTTGTTAATGATTATAAATACTAAGATATTTTAGTGTTGGTAGTATTTGATGTTGGTGAAGAAATTAGTACAACTAAGTGAAAGTACTTAGTGAAGATTCCAAAGAGCATGTCAGTACTATACCAGTTGCTGTTGAGTGCCTTCCGACCCATGGGCATCCCATGTATTATGTTAGTAGAACTTAGAACTGCACTCCATAGTTTTCAGGATCTGTGACTTTTTGGAAGCAAATTGCTAGGCTTTTCTTCTGAGGAGCCTGTGGGTGGGGTCAAACCACCATCCTTTTGATTGTGTGACCCAGGGACTATTCCCAAAGACTATGTTGTTGAGTATCACTGAGTGAATTCTGACTCATAGTGACCTTACAGGTCAATGTAGAACTGCCCCATAGAGTTTCCTAGGCTGTAATCTTTACAGGAGCAGATTGCCCTCTTGCACAGGGGCTCTTGGGTTTGAACCACTGACCTTTTTGTTAGCAGCAAAGTGCTTAACCATTGTGCCATCAAGGCTCCTTCCAAAGACCAGAGATCTCTTTAAAAGAAGGGAAAAACACACTGTTTCTGTAATGTCTTTTCATTTTTGACTGACTTTGTCATTTAACAATACATTCCTACTGGGCTGTGATAATACACTTTGTGGCAAGTTTTACTTTTTGTTTGTTGTGGGACTTTATTATTCTCTTTAAACCATTGAGTTTCATTTATTTATTAAATTTTGAAACTCAGTTGGATCTGAAAGTGCTTTTCTCTTTAGTATAATCTGACAATTTCAGTGTAAGACTTATTTAAGAAAAGTAGCATTTTAAAGAAAGTTGAATGGTAAACGTATTCCTCATCTTTAGTTTTCCAAAGGTTGCGGTTTAAGTTTTTACATGGCAACTATATCATATAGTTAAGAATTTATTTAAAGATGCTCTGAAAGAGAATTTATATTCACTACTTCCATAAAGATACCGCCTCAGAAACCCAAGGTGGATTGCTACTAATCCAAATTGACTCGATGGCAGTGTGTTAGTTAACATATCACAAGCATCTAGAACAGTGCTGGGCACATAGTAGGCCCTCAGTAAATATATGTTATCAGTAGAATCCTCAAGGTGAAGATGGTGAGACTTCCTCTCATGTGCTTAGGACTTGTTATCAGGAGGGACCAGTCCCTGGAGGACATTATTCTTGGTAAAGTAGAGGACCAGTGAAAAAGAGGAAGACCCTCAATGAGATGGACTGACACAGTGACTGCAACAGTGGGCTCAAACAGCAGTGATTGTGAGGATGGAGTGGGACCAGGCAGCATTTCTTTCTGTTGTATGTAGGGTCAGTATGAGTTGGAACCAACTCATTGGCACTTAACAACAACAACAAATTGATTGAATGATCTTGAATTTGTAATTGATAGTCAGTTAAGTTTTCTTTTAAAGGAAAAATAAAGTATTTATTTTGTGCTATTTTAAAAGAATATCTCTTCTAATAAATTTAAAACAGCTAAATTTTGTTGGCACTCTTTCAAACTCAGTTACAAATCATGTTTTAACTCCTGTTACCTAAGAGAAAAGAAAAGTAAAATAACAATAAGAAAATGAATCAGAATTACCTTTTACATTGTTTTTTGTTGTTGTTGTTATGTGCCGTCAAGTCAGACCCAACTTGTAGCGACCCCTCCTTGGGTTTCCAAGGCAGTATTACTACAGAAGTAGATTGCCCAACCTTCCTTCCAAGGAGTGGCTGGTAGGTTTGAACTGCCAGCCTTCTGGTTAGCAGTCAAGTGCCTTAGGCACTACGCTACCCGAGCTCCTTTTACATTGTTTAGTCATTGTGATATTTAAGAAATTGCTCTGAAAAATGAACTCTACAGGGTATGGATTTAACTTGTACTTCCACACTTTGTTATACTCCATTGGGTGAAGAAATAGACTTGCTCTTTGAGAGACTTGTTCTTGGATAATGGACTACAGTGTAGCATTTCCCCACTGTTTTTTAAAGAAAAATACTTAGAAGGGGGGTGAAAGAGGAACAACCTTGCATTTTTTCAAATGTGTGCTAGGCTTTACACATTTCATTTTCACAAAATTCTGAAAGATGAGAGGCTGCAAAGAAACATTTTGAAATTATAAACATAGATAGATTCTAGATTAATTCTAGATTAGTTTTGTTTTCTGTGATCATAAATACTTTTTTTTCCCCAAAGTACTTTTCCACAATATTTAGTTCAGACTGAATTATTTATAACAGATTATTTTGATATTTTCTTACATATTGCCATTTTAAACCATCCTAAAATTTCTTAAAGGAGAAACTAAACTTTTTTTTTTTTGTAATACTCAGT